GGCAATCAGAGGCATCTTAATTAGAATCCACTCACTGCTCAAATGTTTTGTTCAGGTGTTGCGTTCAGCACAAATCATCTCATTATAACAAAGTGTAGACACAATGTAAATAGGAGATTCATTGTGCAATGTAGAAAACCTCATTGATTATATCGTCACTTTGTGAGATCGCGATGAACTAAGATGAGCGACAGCTTTTTATATATATAAGGTTAGAGCACCCTTACTAATTTAAGAAGCACCCTCAGTGATTTGATTCTGGAGCCAGGCCTGCTCAGATGAAAGATGTTTTTTCATAATGCTGGGTAGTAACTGATTAAATGTAAGCTACAGTAGGTTACGTAATCAGATTCCAAAAATTAAATACTTTACATTACAAATACTTTTACTTTATATTACATTTTAAAATGCTCATAATCAGATTACAGTTATTTTATGGATTACATGATTACATATTATTCACAAAATGGCAGTACATTAATTCTAATTCTAATTCTCCTATTTCCCCTTCTCTTTTAAAATTTCCTTTTTAAAAATCCTACTGTGTCATACCATTTAGCCTTGGATATATTCACAAATGTTGTGTAAATAAATGTGCAGATCATACTTCTGAATTTGTGGGGGAAAAAGCACCTCTCAACCAATTAGACCATGTAAGAAATCGATAATTATGCAAGTTACTAAACACTGATGATATATAGCTGTGAAACATGTTGTCATCAAATCCAGTGACTTTCAGTAATTTTTGATTCTGTAAGTCTGGGGGAAAATAAATCTAATCTGGCATGTTTGTTAATGTTTGTTGATATACTGCAGTGATTCCCAATAGTTCGTGTCAGCCAACCCCCTTCAAATAAAATATTTATTTGAAATATCTCCGAGGAAGTTAATATTTCAAATCATTTAACAGCACATTTGCATGTTTATAGTTCTCTGATATCGGTTAATGGTGATATTGGCATGTAGGTAAACAAATAAAATATTTATATTTTTAGTGTTCAAGTGTTATAATTATTTTTATTTTACATTTTTACGGTTTAGCACTTCTTACATGAAGCACAGTTTGGGGAAACCTGGTGTAATGTAATGTGTAATGCATTTTATAATGTTGAAAATAAATAAATAAATAACAAAAAATAAAATGGAATATATTTTCATTCTCTTTGCTTTTTTATATAAGCATGGTATGTCAATGGTAAGTTTAAAACTAGCTGTTAAAAAGTAATCCAAAAGTAACCTATAATAAATGTAAATGAAAATGCACTCATAATAAATGTATTACTTATATATATATATATA